TGAACTCACATGAAGAATACAAAGGAGTGTAAGACTGAGTCCTATGATCTAGCAGCTAATGCTTAACTGAAGCAGCAAGAAGAATGAACAGAGTGTAACATAATCACATTGTACAGTATAGTCAATATAATACAATAAATGTCTCAATCTACAGAAAATAAATCTATTTCATTACTGATTTTCACAAGCAGAGAAGTGTCTGGCTTCTACACTAGTATTTTTAAATCTTATTATGTTTTACTTATGTGCATTTTGTTGTGGCTATTTCCTGAAATATATTTAACCTGTATTTGGCTTAAATTTTGTATTAAAATTTCATTATGAAAATGATATTATTTGGGGTCTCTTTCAATCATTTAAGCATAGAGGGTGGTGGCAGGGTGAATTCTCTCTCGGCTCTTGGTTCTGGACCCGAACCCTGGGCTGGAGCCCCATGCACCAAGGGCTGGCTCGCCTCTGAGTCCCTTCCCAGACCATTCCTGTCCCAAATCTCCTCCAGTGCAGACACTCATATCCTATTTGTTCTGCTTCTCTGCAGAATCTTAAAAACACAGTACGATAGCCTATGTTTTATAAATTTGAAAAGGTCCCACATGGAACATATACTGAATCTCTCAATTTTTGCACAGCTTGAATGCTTTTAGTTTACTTTCCTTGTGTTTGTATTGGACACTTTATTATTATAGACATTGTATACATACATCTATCATTGCTAACAAGTGTATATATTCGTATATACATCTTATGCTTTTCACACTCCCAAACACTCAAAGCACACATGCTTAGAGAATCAACCTCGCAGTGCCCTTTAGCATAGTACAGATGACCTTCAACCTACAATGATTTCAGCTGCGATTCTTCAATTCTGCAAAGGTCTATAAAGTGCAGTACAGATTCTGTGGTCCTTTCCCTGGGCAGTGACTTTAATATCACTCTCTTCCATGGCCTTCCAGGCAGTGCAGCAGCTGTGCCAGTCAGCCAAGCGGACGAGGGAGAGGAACAGACACTCCCCAGTGTGCCCCGCTGTTAAGCTGAGAAGTTGGTAAAGCAGATGTGCTGCATCTATTTTCAACCTGCGATGGGTTTATGGGGAATATAACCGCGTCATAAGTTGAACAGCACTTCTTTGAAGCATTTTGTTCTTTGCTAAGCAACAGGGCTAAGGAGTTTGAGGCCAGGGGGGAGCAAACCTCTACCAAATGCGAAGATTACGAATACTAGAGTCAGCTGAGTAACACAACATTTTTCTTAGTGAGTGACAGACATCCGGTACTGTGTAGTGCAATCCTCGGCACCCACGATGCTTGCTTTGCTACCGCCCTGTGTTTTCGCTGCCTGCTGTGCGGCTCTTGATGCTGAGCCTCTTCCCTCGGATTCTCGCTCAGCAGTGACTACACACCGCCCCCAATCACTCCGCACTTCCACACTGAAACCCAAGGGCCGTTCCCCGCTGGTCACAGGCTGGCCCCCCTGCGCCTGCGGGTTGGCGACGCGGCGTCCTGAGCGCAGCGAGCCTCACACCGGCGGCGGGCGGCGGGAGGCGGGCGGCGGAAGCATGGCCGCCGGACGCAGGCCAGCGTGGGCCTCCGCTCCAGGGCTGCGCCACTGCTACATCCGGGCTCCGAGGAGGTTACTTTCAGAGCAAACTACGGACAAGGCAGAGGCACGTCCGCTCGCTTTTCTTCCGGGGGTAACGTGAACAGCTTTCTGCACCACAGTGCTCGCACAACGGCGCTCGAGACGTCTCCGCCGCGGCCGGGAGCTCCCCTCCCGGGTCCAGAGAAGGCAGAAAACCAGTACAGTCAGCACCGCACAGGACTTCGAAGCACGGTGCAGAGGAACAACCTAGGGAGCAGGGCCGCACAGGGAGACTGCCGCGCTCCCAGAACTGAAACCGCCGCGGCGAGCCCCCAACTGCGCACGCGCTGCCGCCGTCGCGCACCACGCCACGCCTCGCAAGGGCGACCCTCACGGGGCGGAAGTGACGTCAGCTGGGAGGCCGCCCCGGGCCGTACCTTCTTCCGCCCTCTGTGCTTTGGATACACTGTTCCCACTGCAGGTCTCCCGGTTTTAAGTTAATTCAGCAGAATTCATTTCTTACCCACAGGGCTGATCTGGTACTTACTGTGTAACATGATACAGAATATATTGAACCATTTAAATAGAATAAATTATTGTATTTTCCATCTTTCCCTCATTTATTTAATCTCACAAATAATCAGACATATATTATTTCATTTTAATAATTGAATTTTTACATCATATACAATATATTCCATTCGAATTTATAGTATATCTATAGTATATGATAATATATTATATATTATTGTACTATAATGTACACGTTATAAATACATTTAAATGATTGTAAGCATACTTGTTATAATACAAAATATTAAATAATGTAATGCACATATCATATAATGTTATACAATTGCACCAATTGTAATTCATCATGAATGCACTGTTTGTAATATATTTAACATCATCACATCATTACTGCATTAAATGCCCATACTAAGTACTTGCTACATGCTAACCACTGGGTTAAGCTTTATTTTAATGTAATACTCACAAAGACTCTTCTTTAATATTTTCAATTTACAGAGAAAGAAATTGAGGTATATTAATTTTTGCCTATTAAGTGGGGCAAATATAACTCAAACCAAGGTAGCCCTAAGTATACAATGATTTCAGTGGACAAATTAGGATTGTACAGCACTTTATAGCCTTCTGAGAAATACCAAATATTGCACAAATCTGCCCTTTTCAGCACTCTCATAGACTCCCCCAAGAAAACACCTAGAGTGTCTCTAACTCACAGAAGCTCCTGTCTCAGGACACCATCGAGGTGATCATACATTCCGTGCATTTCAAGTTCTGTCCTGTTTCTAATGCCCTCTGGCATCACAGAACAATATCACCTTGGCCACGCCCACGTTGCCGTGGGCACCATCAGTTTATGGAGCTGAAAGACTTCTGTTGTCTATTGAGATCACCGAGGTGTCACACCGCTTAGGTTTGTGGTGACGAAGCTATAAACACATCTAGGTGCTACCAGAGATAGGAAAGACAACGCTATACAATTATGTACCACAGATAATATTTGATAATGATAATAAATGACTTTGTTTTTGAATTTTATGAAACTGCACTCTTTTCACCATTTTAGAGTGTACTCCTTTAGCTGGTAATAAAAACAACTGGTTCCCTGTGCCACAGTATGGCAGTTAAGCCACAGTGGCTCACAGGGCCCCACTAACTGCGTCTCTCCCTGTGCCTTTCGCTCTTATGATTTCTTTAGTCTCCAACTCATCATCCTGGCCTGTGAGCAGCCGGCTGCACCATGCGCGACACAGCTCACCATGCCAGGATGTGCACTGCCTGTCTGTGTGCTGTCCACACGAGAAATCACCAGCTCACGCTGCCCTGCTTCCAGCAGCTCAGGTCATGGGGGAGAACACCAGACAGACGCTAGTGAGACTCAGCGTCATCTTTTCCCATCATATTCCCATGTTCAGTTGATACTAGAGCAGGAAAAGCAAGCTAATTAAAACCAACAAATCAGTTTATTACTCTCATGCCCAAATGACAGCACTGCCTGTCACCAAACGCCACTGCCACATTTAGAGTTAACGGAACTGTCGCATTTGAGGGGATGGTGTGTGGGGCGCAGAACAGGCTGTGGGCTGTGCTCTCGCACACAGGTGCCAGGACAGAAAGTAACCAAGGGGACAAAGGTTGGGACCCATCCTTCCCCTGAGACAAGCTGCGGGCAAAGCCCGGTGGGGTAGGGACCCCAAGGGGTGTCAGCCCTAAGCACCTTGCAACTCTGTGTCTGCCAGTCAGCATGTGTCCAGCAGGGCCAGCTGGCCACAGCTGATGAATGTGTCCAGGACTATTGCAATTCCTTTCTTAGGGGCAGGAATTTTGGCACAAAATTCTCAACTTATTGCAGATTTTCTCATCTTTAATCTTGGCTGCTTCTGCAATTAGATAAGAAAATCTCACATTTTGATAAAAGTAGGGGAGCCCTTCCAAACTCTGCACTTTATCACCCTTCCTAGGTGATGTGCGAAGTGCTTAACTGCTTTTGTTCATTTGCAAAAATAAGGGCCTGGCGTCTTGTGCCTGACCTAAATGGAGCCATTATATTTGAAGCTTATTTCCTATGTTTCCTTTTTTCTAAAACCTCAAAACAGTTCTGGGCAAATGTCCCCCGATGCCAAGAAATCACGAACACAAGTGTCTAACTCATGTAATTAGCTCACAGGCAATATCACTTGAAGAAATGACATGCAAGTTCTATGTGAAAGAATTAAGTAATTTAAATTTAAAAATTCCTAATGAAGACAGTCAGGGCTTCCTAACTTTTAAATGTGTTATGTGTTTAAATCCAACATGAACTGAGATATAAAGATTAAAATTCTCATTGTGCTCCTTAAAGACACCAGTAAGACTACATCCTCCATGACAGTAAAGGAAGACTCTTTCCTCCTACTGCTGAAAGGTACCTGTTCATTTACTCGCAAAAATGAAACATCTGTTTTCAACCAGTACTGATAACCTAATAACATTCCAGGAAATAAGGAGAAAAAAAGAAGAAAATATGAAAATCCAGATATAATGTTTTTCTATACTAGGATAATTATTGATGATCATCTCTCTATTACAGTTTATCCAAGAAAATGAAAAATTTCTAAAAGTAAACAGATCTGTCACATACATTAATACAAGTTTAGAAAACTTAAAAGATATAGCATTTGCTACTCATCTGAAACTTTAAAGCTGCTGAAACAAGAATATGTTTCTGTCGCCTGCCTCATTTCATAAGGATTTCAGTCACAGGTAGAGTCAAAGCCCCTGGGTAAAGATATTTCAGATGATCAATATGATAACTACTCCATACATACCAGTAGCAATTGGTAGAACAAAATACAAGAAAAATTTCAGTTTTTTTTTTTTTTAAGTAGAATCTAAATTTTTGTAATTAATCCTACCCTATGTTCCACTCTAAGAAACCTTAGTGATGTCCTGACAGAGCCAATCACACTGTTCCCGGGGGAGAGAGTCCTGGAGCCTTCCTCAGGTCCCCAACTCGACAGCTGTATTGTTCTTCAGAATCTGCAGGGACAATGGCTAGGAAACAATGACCACAGACAACACTCTTCGGTTATGATTTATATGGCTAGAACTGAATAAAATAATAGCTTTTATTTTATTAACTTGCATTAATAAAGCTTTTACTACAATATTTACTTTATTTAAATTTAAACAAATTAATCTCATCAATAAATAAGAAACTATGCATCTGTATAAACATGACATATTGTTAATACAACATTTTTATAGATGGGCTAAAATAGCTTCTTCACAATTGTAAAAATTAGCAAATCTGGAATGAAATTTGACCAAATGCATGGTATTTCTAGCTCCTGTATTTCTGAGTAAATAAGCCCTGAGAGTTATAAAAAGCAAACGTATATAATCACAGAAAATCTAATAAAGCAAAAGATAAATAATAAATAGGATCATGGAGAACTTAGGCAAACTCAGAAACAGCAATAGACAGAACTTCAAAGTGAAAAATAACTCAAATATTTGTTAGGATTGATGTTTTGATACACCTCTGATTGTTTGATGTTATAAAATATATTATAGTTCACAGCATACTTTACACTAAGGTAACTGATTTTTATTTAAGAATTCTGATGATGGGAACATCCTTACACTCCACTGTGATTCTCTTTTACTGCTCTCTGTTGCTGAAATATCATGGCCCGCAGGGTCTCCTTTTATCCTATAACAATACCAGGGCAAGAAAGGCAAATATTCTAACAAGAGAAAGAACTGAAACTTTTGTCTACCACCAAGAGAAATGTCTATATGCTGTGAAAATAAATCAAAGTGGTGTTTCAAATTTTACCCATGTCAATTGAATATGCAGGATTAACAACACATGAAAAAGAGATTTGATAAGAGATTCCACTGCAGTCATGTCTGAGTGATTATGTGTAAAAATTTAAAAGCACCACATAACTTGGGTACTAAATATTCCATAGTGTTAAGATAACATGATAATGTCTACTTTGCCATTAATTTACTTCATGGCCAGCATAGATATGTACAGCTGCATATATGTTCATCTTTTCTTGCCTCTCATATAACTTTTCAAGCTACCTAAGTAAATTTATATGAACACGTAGCAAATATGTCTATGGTATAGAGACATTGCCACCCTGGAGTTTGGCTCGGTGTGTCTTCATCTCAGTGAGAATGTATAGACTGGACGGGCTGTCAGCCTCTCATTGCCAGTGAGAAACTTGCAAAGCTGATACCTTCCCCAGCTACCCAAGCTGAAAACAAGACGTCCAATCAAGGAGCCTAATTCTTAATCCCAACTGTGATCTTAATTTCTAACTTAATTTCCCCTATATCACATGTCTCTTTCTGTAATTCAGCTTCATCAGCTTTTAAAAGGTCATATTAATTTTTCCAATTGCCACTTACAAAGATAATTTTGTCACTTCAAGTCAATAGTGTTTCAATATAAACCTTGAGTGCTGAGCAAAATTTAACGAATGGCATCATTACCTGCAGGAGTTTCTTCTTTGGTATAAAAGGTTTAATCCAAACATATCTATTTAATAATAATAATAATCCTTTATACTCTGTGGCCAGATTTGGTTTTGTTTTTTTTTTCGGTACTGGGGATCAAACTCGGGTCCTTCTGCTTGTGAGGCAGGTCGTGGAACCACTGAGCTAAATCCCCAGCCCTCAGATTTGGTTTTTGATTCAGAATTTTTGAGAGTAGAAAAAGCTAGAGTTCACATGCCATATCTTATGCCACATTTCCTTTGGAGTCATGGGCTGTACTTCACACTTAAACTTACCAGGATCCCTGAATTGACAAATATATTATTTGCTCTACTCAATCACACCTTAAGCGTCTGTTATTTTTAACGCAGTTTGAATTTGAGAATTGCGGGTTTGAAATGTTTACCATCTTTGCACACCACTGGTTTTCTGCTTGTCAAACCCCGTTTAATCTTCAAAATGACATGGGCTGCTGGGGTGGCTGCGGGATGAGGAAGGTGAGCCTCGGGGAGGACAGCGGGTTGTGCACTCAGAGCTGCACCCCCCGACTCCGGCCCGGGGGGTCTCCCTAGCCAGATGCGCTGCTTCGGAAAAGGCCAGCGGCCGGAGCAGCGGCTGCCAGAGACGCTTGGGTGCATGGTCAGCCGAGGGGAGGCGAATCCCGACCTCTCCCCACAGCTACAGAATGCAAGAGACAGCGACCAGGCTCGTGTGAAGGGCTGTCGCTATGACATCACAAGGTGTCTCTCTGCCTCGGTCAGCACAGGTCCGGCCCTGGGGCCCCTGGGCCACGTGCTGCAGTGCGGACTCGCCGTCCTCTGGAAGGGAGGAAGTGCCGTGTTCTATCCTTGCAACACGTCACACTTGGTTCATTGCTCAGAAGTTCCACGTGAAACACTTGGCACGTCGGTAATAAGGTGCCTAAGGAGAAGGCCACGTGTGCTAAGAGAAATGTGGAACGAGACTCGGGTGAGCTTGGATCCCACTTACTGGCCGCACACAGTGCGCAGTCGCTCAACCCAGGAGCCCTCTCCTGAACGAGGAAGCAGAACGTTTCCCTTCCCAAGGTCGCGCATCCCAAATTATCCGGCTTCCAGTCCTACTGAGCAACAAAAGGAGACAGATCAACGTAAAGCTCTTCCTCCAGAACATGAAACGTACCTTTTTCTTTCTTAAAAAGTCAAAGCAAGAGACTAGTACTGCAGGCCCAGGGGTCTCTCTCGGGGGGCGGGGGGTGGGGTGGGGTGGTGGCAGGGATGCTCCTGGGCCCTGAGCCGGGGCACGGCTCCTCTGTGGAGTGCTGGGCCGCCTCAGTCCCACCTGGCCGGTCAGATAGGTCTCACGTTCTCCACCTACAGCCGGAGGTGCCCTCAGGACCTGCTCACCAGCCCATATCCGGCGCAGACCAAGGGCACCCAAGGCAGAAAGCACAGCCTTCCACACCTAAACCGGGACTCGACACAGGACGACACCACACTGCCAGGATCAGCTGTCCTTAGGAACCAAGGCCTGTGCAGTGCGGACTGATGAATGAATCCTAGGGGGCTGGAATTATTAGGGGGTAATTCAGCAGCCACGTACCTGAAAACATAACAAGAACACCTAAATGGAAAAAAAAAAAAAGAAAGAAAGAAAGAAACGAACACCTAAATGGAAAAGACTCCCTTCATCTTTGGGAATGAAATGTGCATGCTGAGATAACATATAGAATGCTTTCCACAGGACTGTACCTGTTTTGGTACTCAGTCAATAATCTTTCATTTCTTCAGGATAGAATTTAAATAAGAAATTCAGTTATTTAAGTATTTTTAGTTTTATGAGAACTCTTTATTTTGCTATTATTTTAAATTAAAATGATAAAATACTGAGTTGTTGGAGTTATTTCCATCACAGCCTTTGAACAAGTCAAAATTAGACCTGTTCTGATTCTAATTCTTTCATCATTGTCACCCCACATTTTGTAACATGCAATTTCTGGAATTATTTGTTATAAGCCATGTTCGTCTTTGAGAACACAGTGGTAGATGTCAGATCCTCACCTGTCTCATCAGACCCAAAAGCTGCCAGACATTGAGTGTTCCTCCTCTTACCAAGCTTATAAGGCACGAGATCAAATAAATGAAGAATGGAGTGAGAACACTAACATTAATCCTGATGTTGGGTATTATGAAAGCTTCATTTTATTCTATTGAAACATTAGTATAAGTAGAATTTCTAATATTTTACAGGTTTATAGGTCACCCTCTAGACTCCCTTACACGTTAATTTGAAAATTGCTGATGAAATGATTCCAAACATTTCTTCATATCTCCTTCTTGTCAATTAATTTTTTTTGCTTAAATTCTTTTATTGATACATTCTAGGTATACAATACACTTATGTTCATCATTGGGATCTTATACCTGTACACGATGTATCTTGGTTCTTATTTTTTCCCCATTCCCTGTGTGCCCTTCACTCCCTCCACCCTTCCTTATTTACATAGACTTTGTTTCCATTTTTTTCTTTTCTCATAACTTTTTTCATCTCCCACTTAGAAGCAGCAGTGAACATTTTATCCGATTCCCCCTTCCAGTCATCTCACAACAACCTTTCAACGATAAATAACCAACTAGAACTCAGACAAGATCTACCCGAGCAAGAGCATCACCCCAGGACTCTGCTTTGTCACTACTTGAATGAAGCTTGCTGTGAAACCAAGTGTGACCTCCAGGACAGACAGCAAAGGCAAGCAGGACAGGAAAAGGGCAGGTGAGGCAAGCACGGGGAAGGCTGTAGTCTGTGGTCCTGTCTGTACTGCTCATGAGAATTATCCCAGGGCCTTGCAAGAATTCTGGTGTCCATGCTCCAGTGCAGACCAAGAAGTCAGAATGTCTGAGTGTGGGGCCAGGTGAGAGTAGGTTGTAGCTCTTCCTGGTGAGTCCGCTGTGCAGCCAAATGAGAGAAGCGCCTCCCCTAGTCATGCAGAAGCCGGCTTGACCCTCATGGGTGTCTTTTCTGTTAGATAGAGTTTGGCAGGGAACTCAGAGCTGAGCTAATGGCAGGACAGTGCATCCATTTCCTTAAAGGATCCCAGGTGGAAGGTAAAAGAAATGATGACAGAGACTTCGGATGAACAGGACTGTGAGGGAATTGGATGGGTGTTGGAGGATCAAAGCAGACCTACTACTGGCTTCTCTGAGGAAACGAAACTGCAAACCAGGACAGAAAGACAGACTGCTCAGCCATCCAAATGACCCGAGCACAGTGAGGAAGTGGCAGTTTAGACATCACACCCAGTTTGTTATTCAGAACCATGGGCTTGTTCGAAACCCACTCACTGCAGAAGCATGAGAGTCAGCATAGCTTGTGGTTCAACTTCACGGCAGAGCAATTAGAGATCCTATAATTGGAATTAAGAAAAGGCACTTTTAAGTTTCAACAGGCATTGTTAAAACTGCTCAACAATACAAACTTCAGAACAGTAAAGACTAATGATTCTATATGAAATAGAATTCCAATACTTCAATAGTGTTTTTAATCCCCCAAGCACAAAGGATATAGATGCTAATTGTTAATAGTAAACCAGAGCTCCCACACACACATTTTACATGATGAATAACTCTAGAAATCAGAGAGAACAGGCCAACAGAAGTACTTCACAATTAAGCAGGAGCACCAGTAAGGGTCTGAAAATGCTGATTTCTACAAAGGGAGAACTGCAGACACAAACTGCAGAATGAGCTAGACCAGCCATGCCCTGGAGGTCGGAGCCCAGCTTCAAAATAATTAATCTAAGCACTTACTTGAATTGCTTTTGGACAAGTGATGTTATTTAAAGTGATTTCTATTTGCTCGTTCCAGGAATGGAACATAATTACAATTTGGGAATATAGGAGGAAAAGCCCTGTTCTGACTGTTACTAAATGATAAAATAATCTAAAATTGCTCATACTTCTGTATGTGTTTGCCTATTGCTTTTCAAATTTTTATTTTTTCCTTTTGCTTTTTAATCAAAGGGTAGGGAGAGGAAAGCCAAGTTTACTAAGTGACAGTCTACCAGCCATTGAACTGGTGCTTTCTTTAATTCAGAAAACCTTCTGAGATAGCATGCCTTCTATGACACCTGTACAAGTGAGGAAAAGTAAACTCTCATACAGAAAAAGAATTGCCTAAGGTCACAAATAATTGAAGAAAACTAGGCCATCTCTAAATTCCATGTTTTTAATCTGTTTTTACACTTGTGCCTTCGTGGCTCTTTGAAAACTTGTTAGTGACTATCAGAATGTATTTAGCAGAAGTCAATTCAGTGATTATTCATCATGAAAAAAACGAGTTTAACATATATCATTTTAAATATACTCCACAAAATGTTGAAACAGAATTAACAACTTTACATATGATTATACTTCTTGTAATGTAATCCCTACAGCAAAGTATAGACTCTAACTAGCTTAATGATTGTCTTAAAAAGATCACAGATTTCCACAGCATAGAAATTCATAATCCATAAGCTTGGCAAAATTCCACACTAAAGATTTATATAAAAAGATGCAACAATCATATTCTTCAAAGAAATAAAAATGATTAAGCAACCAAATAATCCTTCATCTAGTAAAACATCTGGTTTAGAATAAATAGAATAAATATTACAAGTTTCTTGGCAGCTGTAAGCTTTGACAAATCACTCTGAGATCCAAAGAACTCTATGCTAAATATGAGTTCACAAAAAACCCTCTTACTGTAGTCTTCTGGGTTAACATTATTATACGTACTGTTCAAGAATATTGTTCCCAAGTGGAATATCCTTTTTATCAAATTGTAGGCTGTATTCTCCTATGGAGCATATAATTAACTTGTTGAAATTTAAATACTGTAGAGAACATGGAAGCATTACTGATGAAAGATCTCAATGACAGGCAAGTAACAGGACAAAGCTTCCTGTAATTTTATAGTTGAAAAATCTTTCACAAAGTCAGAATTGTAACTGGATGGAGTAAACTGGGAACACTCAGAGGTAGCATTTAAAAGAACATTTATTAACAACTCTGATTTGGACTCCTATTTAAACTATATTATTTTAACTTATAAATAATTAGACATGGGACAAAGTTTGCTCATGAATTAAACTTAAATCATTTTAAGTACTGATTTGAAAAATTATATACTTTAACATTTTATACCATTTATATGTCATTGATATTAACAAACTTTTAAAAACTAAATTTAATCTAAAATATGAACCCTAATAAATTAATTTTTAGCTACAGAATAACATCATTTTCTACTTTATGAAATTATTTAGATTTTTTTTACCCATTGTCAAATTTTAAAACTTGCTGACATCAAATAATAAAATTCAAAATTTAAATGCATTTTATACGTTAAGTAAAAATGTTCCAGACTTAATTGCACAGATGTGGTCCCTACTTTTTAACATCACTCTTTCTAAATCAAAAACACTTGATGTCAGTTTGAATTGTGATGCTCCTGATTGAATAAAACCAAAGAAGATATTGCCATAATTTATTTCAAAATTGTTCTTTACAGCAATTTTATAAGCATGTTATTTTATATATGTTGTGCACCTGTATGAACTTCAATGAGAAAAGACCCACAGTCTCTTTATATAAATTCCAAGGCTGTCTTTAAACAACTACCTAAATGTCGATACCCAACAGGTAAAACTGTTGAGTCTTATGTCTAAAGTTATATTTTCTGATTACCAAGTTGTCAAGATGAAAGAAAATTATCTAATATTTTGTTGAATAATTCAACCAGAAATACGGTAGAGTTCTTTTTATATTTTTGCTTCTTAGGTCTGTTATTACTAGTAAGAATTTTAGAAGTGAATTAAACTCATTTTAAAAACAATTTCTGGGTATAAATATTTGAGAGATCTGTCTAAAGATGATACAAAGAAAAGTGAATATCCATAATTAAAGTTAGCTTTTTTTATATAATGGCATTTTTTAATTGGCCAAATAAGAATTTTTAAAGTTGAATTGGCTGTAAGATTAAAACCCTATCTTCTCAGTTAAACATTGTATTTAATAATGGCTGCCACTTATCGTTCCTGGTGTCAGGAGTGGGATAAAAGGGCAAGTACAATTTTTTAGCTCAAAGCCACAGCCTGGAGTGGGCTCTGATGTCTGTGTTTTGAGACAGGAAGCTGAGATTTAATGAGGTTCTGGCCCGAAATGGGTCTCCCTTGGGCCACCAGTGATGCGCCAGCGAGCTTTGAAATGCTCTCCTTGTTCCTAGTCACATATCTTTAATTTAAGGAGGCTGTCACTTAGAACACAATTGGCAAAATTATCTTCTAATGCCTTTGAAAATTGAGTTCTAAAAATGCCAACTTCTTCAGATACAGAAATAGAATACTGCTGATACCGGGAACATAGCAAAGATCTGAATAATGAGAGAGAAAGAACAGGACTCTGGGAGACTAGACTTGAGCCCAGGATGCAGACAGGGGAGAGAACGACTACTAACATGATCCAGCTGAGGGTTCCCGAAGCTGGGCCCAGCTGTGTCCCTGGGGGAAAGGGCGGTACAGGAAGAATACATATCCAAAAGGCATTTAGGAAGCAAATGTGGTAGAACTTGCTGACTGAATCAATTCAGACAGTGGAAGAGAAGGGACTTGACAATAACTCCCAGGTTGCTTTGAGTTACTGAATGGATGTTTTGTATCACTGATTGCATAACGTGTTTTGTTTAAATATAGCACTCAATATCCATATACTTAAATAGAAACAGGGCATTCATGTAAATCTCACTGGAAAGTTAACAGGCATACAAAAATGTCCAATTTTTCTCAGTTTGGACAATCTATGTTCTCTACACTGCTGCAAGACCAGAGTCACATGTGAAAAGCAACCCTTTTAAACATCACTCGTGGGAAGAGAACACAGCCAGCTCAGGGCTGTCATCAAAAACTATTCTATGTTGCTTCTTGCACTGTGGATGTGAGGCTTTGTGTTTCAGTTTTGGTCTTTAGGGCTTTTGTCTTAGAGTAAATATTTCTGTTAGAACAGAAAGAAGATAAGGATATACATGAAAGAGAGAAAGAGTCAGAGACTGAGACAGACTTTGGACTGATTTACAGGATGGGTGCTCACGATGCTGGGCTGGCAAGTCTCAAATTCTGGCAGAGCTGCTCTTCCCTGAGTGGCTGGGGCTGCACACATGTGGTGCGTCACCCGCTTCACTCAGAATCTGTTGATTTAAGCGCTAATCACATAGAAACAGTCACCTTCTAACCATGTCCGGACCGCCCTGGCCCACACCGGCCACCCGGCCACCGCCACCGTAACCTCCTATCTGACACATTGATGTGCCCTCCCACCAGCCCACTGCGTAGCGCCCTCTGGTTCACTGACATGGATTTGCTCCCACTACGAAGACGAAGCATTAGTTACAGGATAGTTATGCTCCCCTGGGCTTTTGAACAAGCTGAACAAAACCAATAACTTAGTGGGGAGCATTCTTTCTGATCAGAGACTAGAGAGCCAGGTCAGACTTGGGGGAACAAACCCCATGTTCTGTCCTCTGCTGACACAAGGGGCTTTCCAGTGTTCACTGAAGACACAGGAGAATTCTCCTCCCAGCCAGCTACTCACACAAGAATCGTGGGTTATGTACCACACTCAGACCAAGACACAGCTTTGGGAATGTACACAATAACCCTAGTTTTGGGGAGAAAGAAGCAAAAACTAGAAGATTAATTTGGAAATCAATTTTTTTTTTCAGAATTCCAGCCAAGAAAATATTCTAATTCTTGTTTATGCTATTTCAAAAAGCTAAATCAATGTTCTTAACAAATGGAGATTTAAGAACCTCAATATAAAATGTAAGTAACACTGAAATTTTATCATCAGAATCTATTGTTATATAAAATTTTACCTAACCATTAATAACATTTTAACATGTGTACTATAACTAAAAATTCCAATATTTGTAGTTCTTATTTGGGAAAACTGACATACAGGTAAGGGTGCACATGTTACAAGTTTTAACCAGTGTGTATGATTAGGTAATACAAATAGCTTTAACCCTAGCCCTTCATAGGAAGACATACCACCGCCTCTCCCCCTCGGACTCTGCCTCCACCTTTCTTTGGACAGCCACTGATTTTCCTCCCCATCACAAGTGACTTTACCTTCCCAAAACTACACACAGAATCACAGGACTTGTGTTCCTTTGTGTACAGCTTCCGTCATCCATTCTATTTTGGGGATTTTCGCTATACCTGTTTATTTGTGTGTATGTGTGTTTTGTGTTAAGTTTTTTGGATAAAACAATATATTTACTTTTAATTGTTCAATGACAACAAAATATTTAGGAGTTTACAGCTTAATTGGGGAAACAACAGAAAGCCTAAGCTATCAACTAAATTTGATAAAGTTAAACACAACCTATTATCAGAGCCAAAGAATTGTAAATAATCTACTCAGGCATGGTGGCACATGCCTGTAATCCCAGCACTTGGCAGGCTGAGACAGGAAAGATCATCATAGTTTAAGGCCAGCCTGAGCTACATTGTGAGTTTAAGACCAGCCCAAATTACATAGTGAGACCCTGTCTCAAAAAAAAATTGTAAATAATCAAAGCTAGTAGCTGTATATGTAATATATACTGTAAATAACTAAGGATAATATAAAAAGATACATTGTTTATTATTTTTAGTGACTTCTTTAGGGATCTCTTAAAATCACATTGCACCAAAAATAAATTTTACGGATTCTATCAACTTTTTTAAATTTTTTAAAAGATTACAAAGCAAGCAACTACGAAGCCCACATTATTTGCCTATTTATGAATGAATAATTAGTTTCCCTTCCTCGGATAGTTGATCCCAGGTGAGTTTAATCAGATCCAAGCAGTGTGCTGGGGAGGGTTGCACATCTGAAATGGAGGCTGAGCTGTGTCCCCTGTACCAGTCAGCCTGCTGGGCGCAGAGTGCTCCAGGGCCCACAGGTGGGCAGACCCAGGTAACGGCTGCTCACACGCACACCCAGGTTGGTGCCCAGGTGCATACAGCTCCGACGTCCTCCTCGTCGCTGAGCTTCCACTCCCAGGGAGAAGCCTGGGACAGCCGCAGACAGCAAAGAGCACCCAAAGGAAAACCCAAATGCTGCTTTGAACATAAAAATCACCTGGACACATCAAAACATCAACCACATGGGGAAAATCAGCAATATTGGCTCAGAAATCAAAGCACCCTCATGTGACAGCATCACTAATGTAACGCATCATTACGCTTAGACTTTTCCATGCAGTTCCTGTGGCTGTGTGTACAATCCATGAAATATCATTACTCACTTATTCGTTATCTAGAAATAAATATTTAATATCAACTCCTTGAGAGGCAGCATAGGAGACAAGTGAAATATATTGGAAAAATATCGACAGCTTGCATTTATCAGTGAGCAATTGAGTAAAGCTAATAAATGAATGTTACAGATCATGTAGCATGTGGGGTTGGGTCCTGCCCTAGGCCCCGACAGACCAGGCCAAATCCAAATGGAGTCACTGCTGCTAAATGCCACAGAATTGAGTGGAAGCTGTGAGGGAGAGGTAGATGAGATTTTCCTGTAAACAAAAGATTATCGTCTACCCACATTTGCTCAATAAGAACGCTCCCCCGCCTACCAGGAGTAGTGCGACACTCCTGTAATCCCACCTACCTGGGAGGCTGAGGCAGGAGGATTACAAGTTTGATTGTAACTTGGGCAGTTAGGGTGACCCTGCCTCAAAAATAAAACACAATGAAATAAAAGGGCTGGGACTATAGCTCTGTGACAGAGAACTCCAGGATTCCATCTCCAATGCTAGAGAAAGAAAGAATGAATGAAAAAGAGGGGGAGACAGAGAGAGAGAAGGAGAGCGGGGAGGGAGAGAGGGAAAAGGGAGAGAAGGGAATCAGACCCTGCTTCAACTCTGGAAAAAAGAAACCGAAAGTAACCTTACGTTAACCAAGCCAGCTTTTCTGTATTACTGGCGGCCTTTCTCTATTGCATGTAACCCACTGTTCTATTGTGCAGAGTAAAGTCTGTGTTTGTTCCTGTGGTTGGCTTTTACCTGAGCACTGATAGATGAATTTCTATGATCCTCCAGCCCAACTTCCTCCTTCCCAGTCTGTGCTTGGAATCTAATACCCCACACTGCATACACTGTTTACCTCGAGAGCAGCCAGCTTGAATGGCAGACTGTGTTTCTGTATTTGCTATGTGAGCACTGAAATCCAGGACACTGCTGAGCAAGAGAACTTTAAGGAAAGGATCAGTAGTTTGGTTTCAGAAATGTTTTTATCATGATTTGCCTATGTGAAACACTTCTGGGAGATTAATATCGCTTCTCCCCTGGAATCTCATGTTGGACTCAGCACAGAGATGGTGTTTAAAGCTGTCAGAAACACTCATGAAAGACTTAAAATATGCACGAAGGAAAGAGGTCAAGGACTGAGCCCTTGACCATTAGAGTGAGTAATTCAGCAAAGGAAAGTCAAGAGGGAGACAAGAAATAAGGTACCAATAAGGTGGGAGAAAAATCAAGGCACTGCTGCCCTCCTGGATGTGAAGAAATGAGGAGGCAGTGTGTCCAGGGATGTGCCACCCTGAGCCCAACTTCCAGCAGGACCCACATGGATGAATGGCTTGCCCCTCAGTACTGATTGAGGTGCTAGGCAGAGGTCAGCTGACAGAGGGACAATCTGGAGGGTCCAGTACAGTTTCCCCCATGTCTGCTTTCTCAGCAGCAATGTTCAGATGGCTGAACACAATGGGGACTGTCCACCAGACACGTGCCTCTCCAACGTGCCCTCTAGTGTGCTCAGACTTGCCACTCACAGGCTCAGACTTCCAGGCAGAATGTGTAAAGATAAGAAGTGGAAATTGTGAAGCCAGGAAGTGGAAGTTGCCTGTGCTTATCGTTTGGAGCCAGAAACTGTCAATGTGACCTCTGCCATATACATAATGGGACACAGACACCCCCAACTCTCACGAAGCAGAGTGTAAAAGAACCCATGGCTGCTTTCAATGGGTAGAATATCAAATGTGTCTGATAATTAATGTGAGTATTATTTGAATCTCATACCATGAAAATCATTGGGTTCCTTCTATAAGACGTGTTTCAGTGGAGTAGTGTTGATGAAAACTTGATTAGAGTAGGTTTAAAACAGGATAGGAGAATAAGACAAAAAAATGGGTTCTCCATCAACCTAAGGAGAAAGAACACTTCTGAAAAGAATCTTAAAATGAAGAATTCACTTCTAAAGGGGTTAAATCAGCTCTTTCGGAGAAGTGAACACTAGTCTTGATATCTAAATACAGAACCTTTAAATATTCATTGTTTTCATTCCTTTGCAGCTGTATCGTTGAAGGAGCACACAGAACTGCCTTGCATTTATGAAATATTGGGGCTGCGCTGCCGTTTGGTGTCAGAGTTCATTTCTAGCATGTGCAAGGCCCCGTATTCAATCTCCAGCCCCAGAAAGAGAAAGAAAAGGGAAATATCAACTTTTTAATAAATTAAACATACTTTTTATGTATTCTTCTACATCCCCAATAGAATCTACCTCAAACTGCAAATTAGAGAGTAACAGTGAAAAAATACAAACCATCCTTTTCCTAGACCCACTAGAACAGAAGTAATTTAGGTTTTGTTTTATTATAAAGTGTGTTGATTTTTAAAACATAGCTTTAGAACCTTAATTTGCAGTTTCAAAATAAGTTCAGTTTCTTCAAAAATAAAGACAAAAACAGCCCTCTGGAAAGTAGGTAAAAAGCATCAGTAATAAGTAAGCCATTTGGGAGTAAAAACTACATGACTTCAAAACCACGATGTTTGGACCTAAAATGCCCATTTGTGTATTTCACTTCGTTTAAATATTGAAGTTTGATCAGATACTCGAATTAGAAAAAAACTGCAGCACATCATTATTTTAGTATTGTTTCCAATTTTGTACCACAAATGGTTAGTACTAAATATAAATATCAGTTAAATTCCCAATGGTAACCCTTTAAGGCTAATCAATTTTAATTGAAAAAAAATGTTTCGGGGCCAGGGATTTAGCTCAGTGGTTCCACCACCTGCCTCACAAACACAAGGTTCTGAGTTCAATCCCTGGTACAAAAAAAAAAAAAGTTTTAATTATTTATTTATCATATGTATTTAAATCTCTAAAGAGATTTTATATAACAATATGTTATAGCCGAATAAGGTATAGCTAAGAAATACATTGTGTGGATTTCAGGCACTGTAATTAATTTAGGTGGTAGGAAATTTAAAAATCACCTTTAATTGTAGGCACCCATTTTTTAACTAACTAGTGTTTTTTCTAGCTTTTTTTTTTGTTACTTTCACTTAAATAATTTATGTCTTCAAATCATCAAAGCATCTATTGATTTAATTATTTTATCAATCAGGTTTAAGTGAATTTGAACATTTCATTTATTTTAATATCATAGGGACGCAGTACCAGAGGGATGTGTAAAAAGTCACATAGTCGATTGGAAAGAATTTTGCAAATATTTGTTTCACATTGAAAAATTTTTAGGAAAAGAAATATGTATATTGTGAGTAAAAGCCATTCAGAGAGCAATATAATTTCATAAACAATCACAAATAACTTTTAGTATGTGTCACTTTCACTCACCTAAGCAAGAGAAGTAAAGATTATAATATTTAGAATTCCTGAATGAAAAATGCATGAGTTAACATTAATATTTACTGACAATACTGATATTGGCAAACTATTTTGACATGAGCTAGTTATTCACGTCTTCTTTCAGTGTTCCTTTCATCACTTTCTCTCTCACATCTGTCAGCCTTTTTTCCACCTTCAACTTTAATACCACCACAAAGCCTTTCTACCCTCAGCTCTTCTTTTAGTTCATCTGCTCTGAATAGTCCTCCACATAGATTGTATCTTTTTGTATATAAAATGGCCAAGATTCTCTTCAGTTTTTAATTAACATGATCCCCAACTTAGTTAACAATGAAACTGGAAACACAAGTTGGTAATCATATTTACACCAAAGCACTAGTAGTTTGGCTACTAGCATCAGTATTAGCCACCATAGCAGTTAGACAATCCTGTCACCTTTGGATGATGATTTGTCGAGGTCAACATGTGTATTAGTCAGCTTTCCTGTTGCTGGACATGATACACAATACCCACAAGTTAAAAGAGAAAAAGTTTCTGTTGGTTCACATTTTAAGGGGATTCAGTCCTTGGTCTGATGGCTCACATGCGGAAACATCATGGTGGAAGGACATGGTAGATGGAAGCTGCTGAGTTCACGGCACCCAGGAAGCTGAGTAGGAGAATAAGGACAGAAAGGAAGGGGCAAGGGAGCCGGTGTATCACCCAAGGAAGGCACCCGGCCACCATGATCGACCCAGACAAGGCCTGAAGTGCACACTACCATTCCTCTGGTTGTCTCCCTGCCACAGCTGATGCCAATCAGTTATCAGGGAGACAGCCTAACCAATCACCAGGGATGCCCGGTCACCTGAGGGGACAGCAGGGGATGAAGGAATAATATACAAAGAACAAGAAATAGAGAATAATGAACAATAGTTTATTACTTGGGGGGCTGGGAATTGATCCTTGCCTCTCTCCTGGCTGAAGACCTTGGCTCTAAAGACCAGACCTTAGCTCTGTCCTTGCTAAGACCATGAGCTCTGGATCAGTCAGTCTTTATCACTACACAGCATAGCAGGGGGTGTGAAGACAGATGTAGGGAAGAGCAGAACTAATGCACTAATGAGCGAGGCTGTAAAAGGGGAGTAACTGTATACTTTGAAGGACAGGTCACTGTTAACAAGCCACCTGCGCTATGTTGCAGGTCATAGCTAATGAGCCACCTGCATTATCTTAGCTAACGTTTGATCATGGAGAATGGTTGCACAGAGGCATAAGTCCTCAGCTGCAAGGTTCCTTGCTATAGAGACGTCACAGACTCATCAATCATTTAGAACTCGGTTGTGACCTTTAACATAGGGAAGTCTATCTCCAAACACCAGCCGAAAGGTCAATTAGCAATTCACGCTTAGGCCTTGGAGTGACTCATAATCTTAATCAATAGCCAAATTATAAGCCTATCAATAGTATGCAAAGCCTACTCAGTGCAGTTTCAAGGAAGACTCCTGCACCTCTCAAGCCAATCAAGTAGACAATTCAGGCTTATTTGTTTTTCAGTTTGAATATTTGAATGTTAATGTCTGGGAAACAGAGATATCCAGGGAAGACATACTGATTTCAGGGAATGCGACTTCTGTACAGAATAAGTATTCAATATTGCCAAAACTATCATCACTTACAATTCCCCTTCATGAGTTTTGCCTTACCAACATGCCACCTGTACTGTTATTTGGTTAATTTTTAAGCATTAAGTCAGTTTACTAATTGACCTTTATACATTCATTTAGAAATAAAATGTATATCACAATGGTAAATGAAAGCCCGTCATTTGATAGATATAAATATTCACAAAAATAAAATCTGGAATATTAAAATTGAAAATATCCATCCACTGCCTAAAATAGCAAATACACTGAAAAAGGGGATATGGAATTATTTTCTATATTATATGTTGACATGAAGACAACTGGAAAATTTTGGGAAAATTTTCATAAGCTGATTATGGAGGAAAATTCCTTGTCAGAGCGAATCTTCCATTTGAATAAAATTTCCCTCTTTTAGAAACAGATGCCTGAGAGGACTTTCAATCATAAAGAGCCCAAAGCAATGCCAGCATTCAAGGCTTTTAGGAACCATGTCAGCTTCTTGACTGGGGGCTGCGCTGCAGGTTGCAAACTGAAACCCATTGTGACCTGGCCCTGAGAGAGCCCAAGGCCTCCTCCAGTGTCAGGTGCACATCACCAGTGTGCTTCCAGAGCAGGCAGAGGTTGTAGGAACCAGCTCCACTTCCAGGTGTTCCCTCAATGCTGGTGAAATCGCAAAGCATTGCTTGATAATAACGTAGCTTTCAAGATTTTGCTTACTGCTCATAATGCCCTTCCACATCTTCCCTTTTTTGATGGTCTTCGTATAAATTTGGAAGTGGCTCTCTCTTCAAACATCACCCCTTTCAGCCAGTGAATGGGACAGGAAGTTACAGCTGCTTTTAAGGCCTGCTACTGAGAAAAACTCTGAATATTGCTCTGAATATTCCTGGAATTCAGCGAGGAAGACGCTGAGAAGACACTGATGCAGCTGGGGAAGGATGGCTGCGTGGAGGACTTTGCTTGGGTTTGGGACCATTTTCCTCAGAGTGACTGCATGATTTCTGGAAAAAGACATCCAAGGGGTCTCACGACTTCAAAATCCCAAGGAAATTGCAAAGATCAACAAATCTGCAGTAGAGATGACAAAGGACATTAAGCTGGGTGTGCAGGAGGGAGTTGCTTAGCAGCGGACTGGGGAGAAGCAGTTGGAAAGAAATGCACAGTTGAGCAGGGTGCAAGAGACAAGGAGACTGCAGGAGAAGGAGGCAAAGGGCCTGTCGCATGTTCTGCACAGTAACGAGTGGACCAGAAGCTTTTGCAAACCTCAACAAGCATCTTAAGGTTTGAAAACATGGAGCCCATCCTTAATGGTTCTCGATGTTACACAAGAATGTTCATGGCACGTTGACTCCTATCAAGGGCATCTACAATGATCAAAGAAACAAGCCAAGCAAACCTCTGTGGACGGTCTCTGAAATCATGTCCTCACACAGCACCTCAGGGAGAGCTTAGGGATTCCAGAAGAAGGGCGCTGTCACGGGAAAGGACAGCTCCATGTATGGGGCTCCCTCTGAAGAGCATGCAGTGGACAAGACTGGGTGGAAAGCAGTGATATTGGTGGCCTGACCAGTGTTGGCTGAGGCTGTGCTTGTGCCTCAGTTTGACAAAATGAAACATCATAGCAACCTCCCCCAACAAGACAGGGCCAAGTCTATCTCACCGAACAGAGAGTCATTCCAGAAAATCTAGGACCTTCTTCCCCAGTCAGTGTCAGATCACTGGACAACAATTCAAATAAGAAGAATTCCATAAAGAGGAAAAAAGTAAACACAGTATTGATTCAGCCCAATACTTCTTTCTAAATAGGTGAAAAACATTCTTAGTTTTCACATTACACAGAAGTGGAACTTTGTCTTCATTTCGTGCGTGTGATTTACTTAGACTTTCTCCAGTGAACACTTAGGGTTGTCAAAGGCGAGGGAGTGCAACATATTCTAACTTAGATACAAGGATGCCTCCATATTCTTGCTGTTTCTGTGTGCCTCTTTGTTCTTAGCTTTAGAAATACTGTAACATATTCCTAAGCAATATAATTATAGTAACGTTTGCTTCAACATTCACACCTGCATGGAGCTCCTTGCCACATGTGGTGTGACATCTTCCATGTGTCTGAAGTGCTTGAGTTGCAAGAGGATGAACTCCAGTGTCCAGCGTTCAAGTGGGTGTGGCAGATCTACAAAGCACTCAGTGACCTGCAGGGAAGGCCCAATTGCTCTGGCATGTTAATGATGTACACTGTTTAACTGTGCAGTTATATCAGAATTTGATCTGGTTGATTTTATCCACATTTTG